CTCAGTAGGTGTTTGACTCTGCGATTTCCAATTCTGAGCCATTATCCACTAGAAGGCACGGTGGAGTGATGGATAGCGGCTCCGATTGAGGAATCGTAGAGCCGAGTTCGAATTTCTGTCGAATCCATTACAGTCACTTGTGTGCTAATACTCTTGAGTAAAGGTATGAATCCGCTTCTTCTCCTCCCAGTTATGGGTAAATAGCAGGAGAGATCTGGTTCTATAGCTTTGGATGGCAACTAGTCTACCGCAGAAAGAAATGGCAACTTACTGCGGGGAAAATCTGCCTCGTCAGTCATGTATCGAAAGGTATGTGATCACCTAAGCGTGTATCACGTATGGCACATAACTGACTGACTATCCACTAGACCAACCACACATCCAAACTTTCTTCTTTTTTTTTATCACACATGTAGGTAAGTTCGGTGGTTTGGTTTGATTTATTTTGAGATATGTGAACCTCTATGGGTTATTTAATGCCGAAATCTAAATGCCAACAACTAAATATGCATTTGCATGACTTCAACTACACATAAAATGTATTGTTAGTCCTTATAAAATATTTTGCTGTTCATTTTACTATAAATATGTATTGTTGGTCATTTTACTATAGACATATATTGCTGGTATTTTTTTTTTTTTACTATAAACAGTTATTTTTATACTTTCATAGTGTTCTGTCTTTGTTTGGGGTTTCAATATTTGCCCAGAGCTGGGACCGTAATAAGTGCTACTATCCCGGTCAGGGTGGACCTGGGAACAACAGCAATTAAGAGTTGGTTCCAAGCTCAGAGACATTGCTACCGGATGTAGTTTATCGTCGTGCCCAGGACTAGGATCGTAGGGTAATCAGTGTTGCATTGTAATATGGCCGTCAGCTGTCGTAGATTTTTACAAGTATACAATAAATTGGGTGTTGCTGGAACAATATGACTATGCTAATTTTTTTAGTTATTAGAGCGCCTTTTATATACTAACTTTCTTCAGGAAGTTGTTGATCATGGCTCTTCACAATTTCTACTATCATTTTACTATATGCAGTCTTTGACTCCTTACTATCACACTTTGTCCCTGCTTTGTCATCTATTTACTCAAACTTGTTAACTAGTTAATTCACTGTTTCTCTCTAAACATCCGGCTTTCATGTATGTTCCTTGTCCCAACAATTTCAACTGTTTCCGATGTCAAATTTTCCTCAGCCCAGGAATTTCGACTGCCTCTGATGTTAAATATAAGTTTACTTCTTTTACACAATTTGTTTAAAATATGCTTGTTTTTCATATATTCAGTCTTTGGTATTCTCAACATCCTTCTGTAGAATCACATCAATGGCGCCTCAGGTCTCTATTTTTACAGAAGCATACATAGAATACAGTTGCCAAGCAATCTTATCTTTCATTCTAACGATTTTATCTTTTCTTTTTTTTTTCTTTTTTTTAATCATTTCACCCCAAACAAGGCGATAACAAAGACGCAAGGGGTTTACCGGGAGTGGTAGAAAATGAAAAAAAAAATTATTGAGGAGAAAGGACATTAAAAGAACAGGATTCAGAAAGAAAGAAGATGATGATTGGTGTTGCATTTAAGCGTTTAAGAAATGCAGGTGGCAGGGAAACAAGAAAACGGAGGAGAGTTTCTCAGGTGGGAAGTGTGAGAAACGAGACTATTAGAATGGAAATAATAATTACATTTAGATATTTCAACCTTAAATCGATGAGACCTAATTGTCAATCAAGTCGTAGGTTTAAGGCATGCGTGTGAGTTATCAAGGAGGAGAGCTTATTAGAACAACCAGGAGCAAACCAGAAGAAATTAGTGAATTCAACGACGAATCGTACAAGATGGTATCTGACGGAAAATTGCTTTGCTTAGTTTCCAGAAAGCAAATTATACATTCCGTTTAGCCTTCAGCTTTCTCTGTCATATCTTTCGTCGTCTATTACAACATTATTAATTGAAATAAATTTATATAGCTTGGTGATTAGGCTGACATAGTTTGCCGTTTTTCTGATAGATCAGTTACGACTGAGTAGTGAGTTCGATCCTCACTGGATGCCCCATGCTTTTGGCCTTGTGCCACATCTAAGCTACGCTTGGAAAATCACTATAAATGCTAGAACAATGTTTTAGGTAGGATAATGAATGTTTTCTTTAGTTTGTATTACGTTATATATTGTAATAAATTGTTATTCTACATTTCCAGTTTTTTTCCTTGCGTGCAACGATGTTACCTTGCCCGAGGTGGCAGTAAACCTTGGGCTGTCACTGTACTTACAGCAAAATATTATGTCTTATATTGAATAGTTACTGTTTGAAATGCTAGGTAAATTTGATTTATTTTGGAAATATAATCGAATAATCAAGACTATATACTGGGAGCAACCCCTCTGCACACGAATATAAAATGAATTCTGTAAATACATAAAAATATAAAGTCTATGTGTATTTTTCTTTGTAATTATCATTACTTGCGTCAAATCTTCTGCTACAGCAATATTTTGCTATATTCACAAACGCTAGTAACGTGATCCAGAAATGGGGTTTCAAATGGTGTCTGTAGACCTACAAGAGTTTGGAAGATTTTGCAAATATGTAGAATATTTGCATTGCACTGAATGTGGAAGACCTACCTTTGAATGTGAATATTGTTAACTTGATGCGACTGCCGTTTGTAAACAAGAGAAAATATTCGTAAAGCGGAGAATGTAAAGAGATACTGAGGGAAAGAGAAGGGAATAGCAAGAAAGAGAGAACGAAAAACAGTAAGGAAAATTGGGAGGAGCAAATATGGGGATAGAAAGAGGAGTGTGTAATAGAAGTACATCGAGAGAGAAGAAAAGGATAATGTAAAGTGAGGTAGGAAATCAAATAGAGAGAAACACTAGAGGGAGTGAAACTGAGCGAGAGAGTAGAGAAAGATAATTAAAAGCAGAGTGGGAGAGAGGAATGAGGAAGAAGAAATAAAGAGATAGATGAGTGTGGATAAATAAATACAGAGAGTGACAGAGAGAAAGACAGAGAGAGGGAGAGAAGAAACTGTGAGAAACAAAGAGAAAGGGAAATATAAGAATCAAAAAGAGACAACGATATGATAGTCGATATATATATATATATATATATATATATATGTGTGTGTGTGTGTGTGTGTGTGTGTGTGTGTGTGTGTGTGTGTGTGTGTGCATCGACTATAATATCGTTATCTCTTTGATTCTCATATTTTATTGAAATTTATATGTTAAATTGTCAGACTTAATTCATTTCATTATAAGTTGTCATTATTTACGTTAAGATACTTTTCGCGAGCAGAAATGATCGATCCAGAAAAATCTTAGAAGATTGTATGTTTATAAACAGTAATTCAGACTTTGCTAAGTAGAAACTTCTTCCTTGCTGAATCGTATAGTACGCATAGGTTTCTGTATAGGAATAGAGGTTCCATTTTTGTCGGAGTACTCTTATTTTCAACGAAATTTCTCGGACATTTAGACCGTTAAATATAATTAATACTGTTTAATTAAAAAAAAAAAAAACAGAGTATTTGCTTAAGTAAATTGTATCTATAAAGATAGCGCATAAGCAGAAAATAAATTGAATAATTGTCAGACTTAATCAATATATATATATATATATATATATATATATATATATATATATATATATATATATATATATATATATATATATATATATAGAGAGAGAGAGAGAGAGAGAGAGAGGAATGGATTTCTCATTTATTAATTCTATATTTTTTAACTAAAATGTTATTTTAGTGGATACCTGTATTTGAGTAGATGCTATCTTTATACTGTTTAATAAATAGAGCATCTTCTCAAATACGTTTATATAAAAAAAATAACATTTAGTAATATATATATATATATATATATATATATATATATATATATATATATATATATATAGAGAGAGAGAGAGAGAGAGAGGAGAGAGAGAGAATGAAGGAAAGAGCAGCAGCGAAGTTTTGAATTCCTATCGACTGAGTAAAAATCGTCCAGCTTTTCTACGTATCACTTTCTTGACTCGTGGATGGAGTACAAAGGCCCAACTGCAGAACATAACGGACAGCAACGTAAGACCCACTTTTTTTTTCTCCTCTGATCCGCAAAGAAGAACTGCTCATTGAACGTTTAATTAAAAGAACGTATCAAAGAATATTAAATAATTGACATTCACGATTCATTTTCATGCTAACTTTTCATGTCAGAAAGATAAAAAAAAAAAAGTCATGATCAGTGCAGTGAGAATTTTCACGATACGCAAGAGAATAAGATTTCATAGCGATCTTTTTTTTTTTACTGTTCTGTGGCGGCGTGTATATTGAACTGATGAAAGTTGATACTAGACCCTGCCAATGCTTTAGAAGTAAATGATCACAAAGTGTAGGGAACGAAGTGTAAGTGAAAAAGAGGTGGAGGAGAAGAAAAGAAATGTAATTTTAGGGACGAGAAAAAATGTCGGGATACACTGCAATCGTTTATATCAGATAATTTCATTACATTTGAATAAAAAAACCAAAAATGATATTGACTGCATTCATACTTCAATTATTGTCATTATTATTATTATTATTATTATTATTATTAATAATAATAATAATAATAATAATAATAATAATAATTGATTTGCTGTGTGCTATCAAGGCCCTTCGAACTTTTCTGATGGGATCATGGCCTTTGGGTGCAATAAAGATGTGGCTATATAATAAGATTCAATCAAGTAATCATCTTTCTGTTAAACGGTGACGTGTTGTCCCTAACCATTTACCTAATTTTCACCCGGCCACTTTCTTGTACGGGTGCTGAATTTAACGAAGTGATTACCAACGTTACCAGATGGACTGATATTCGTTCATTCCTTACTCTTCGATGATTTTTTCGTGTATTTGTGTGCGTATTTATTGTCTGCACTCGATCTTTTCTCTTATTCATTAACTCTTTTTACCGTCATATATTCTTTCTTTTTTAATCTCATGCTTACATCTTATGATTCTTTCTTTCTTTCTTTCTTTCCAGCTTCCATCCGTCCATCAGTCATTCTTTCTTTCTTTCTTTCTTTCTTTCTTTCTTTCTTTCTTTCTTTCTTTTCTTTCTTTCTTTCTTAATCTCATGCTTACATCTTGTGATTATTTCTTTCTTTCTTTTTTTCTTTTTTTCTTTCTGTCTTTCAAGCTTCCATCCATCCGTCCGTCATTCTTTCTTTCTTTCTTTCTTTCTTTCTTTCTTTCTTTCTTTCTTTCTTTCTTTCTTTCTTTTTTAATCTCATGCTTACATCTTGTGATTCTTCTTTCTTTCTTTCATGCTTCCGTCCGTCATTCTTTCTTTCTTTCTTTCTTTCTTTCTTTCTTTCTTTCTTTCTTTCTTTCTTTCTTAATCTCATGCTTACATCTTGTGATTCTTTCTTTCTTTCTTTCTTTCTTTCTTTCTTTCTTTCTTAATCTCATGCTTACATCTTGTGATTCTTTCTTTCTTTCTTTCTTTCAAGCTTCCGTCCTTCATTTTCTTTCTTTCTTTCTTTCTTTCCCAATTCTCAATTCCTCCGTCTTTCTTTCTTTTTCTTTTCTTTCTTTCTTTCTTAACCCAATTCTTCCGTCTTTCTTTTCTTTTCTTTCTTTCTTTCTTTTCTTAACCCAATTCTTCCGTCTTTCTTTCTTTCTTTCTTTCTTTCTTTTCTTTTCTTTCTTAATCTCATGCTTACATCTTGTGATTCTTTCTTTCTTTCTTTCTTTCTTTCTTTCTTTCTTTCTTTCTTTCTTTCAAGCTTCCGTCCTTCATTCTTTCTTTCTTTCTTTCTTTCTTAACCCAATTCCTCCGTCTTTCTTTCTTTCTTTCTTTCTTTCTTTCTTAACCCAATTCTTCCGTCTTTCTTTCTTTCTTTCTTTCTTTCTTTCTTTCTTTCTTAATCTCATGCTTACATCTTGTGATTCTTTCTTTCTTTCTTTCTTTCTTTCTTTCTTTCTTTCTTTCTTTCTTTTCAAGCTTCCGTCCTTCATTCTTTTCTTTCTTTCTTTTCTTTCTTAACCCAATTCTTCCGTCTTTTCTTTCTCTTTCTTTCTTTCTTTTCTTTCTTTCTTTCTTTCTTTCTTTCTTTCTTTCTTTTTCTTAACCCAATTCTTCCGTCTATCACTCCATTCAGTTTTTCTATCTTCTTTCTTAATTTCGTCCTTCTATCCCTCATTCATTCATTCATTCATTCTTTCTTTCTTTCTTTCTTTCTTAATCTCCTGCTTTGTGCATCTTTCTTTCTATTTTCCTGGTACAGTTGATCTTTCCATTTTATTTCTATTCAGTTGACCCTCTTTAGAGTTACTTCCTTTCTTCCTTTCCTCCTTCCTTCCTACCTTTTGTTTTTTTTTTTTCTTTTTCACTTTTTTCGTCCGATCTTCTTTTCAGGTTTTGTTTTCTCTTTCTTTACGGAAGTTACACTTTTACTTTTTCAGTTTGAACCTTTTTTTTTCTTTTGTGTGTCACAACGTTATTTAAATTTTTATGTATTTGATCATTTCATATGTTTTTTGGATTTTTTTTTTTTTTGGCGGGGTCAAATTTCATACCTATGTAGGAAAATAATCTCTTCTTTACTTCTTAAAAAAAATTTCCTACTTGACCATTCTCTGACATATTACATATTTTCATCTCTCTTATTCTTTTTCCACTTCCTTTTCTTCCGTGTCTTTTATTCTCTCTCTGCTGGTATTTATTGAAGTGAACCTATTTAGACACAAGGTCAAATATTGGGGGGTTGAAGTTGGCTTTTATTCCTTGAAAATTCGCAAAATTTGTTTTAATCTGAACTCGAACTACAGCATCAATGAAAAATGCATAATGTTGCCGTCTTTTGCCGAATGCTTCCCTTTTAGGAATCTTTCTTACATAATGTTTAAGAAACTTAGCTATGTATAACATGAGGCAAAACAATTAAAATGACGTCTCAAATTGGTTAATCTGCAAAATGAGAAGCGGCTTGGGCTGAAACGTTTGTGTGCGTGAACATATTTCTCTCAATCAGCAGGCATGTTGTTGCGCTATCTCCGCCTGCGACAGATTTCACTTTACTTTCCTTTGACTTACTGCTTTCATTAAGACTATATGTGTGTAGATATATGTGCATATGTACGTACAAGTATATTGGGACAACACTTTAAATTCGTTCGTAACACGCAGGAACATGACTGGCCATATATTTGATGTAACAAATGCCGCCCTAATTAAAAAAGAACATAACTCTTTACGTCGAAAATTCATCGAAAGAATCTTGATAAAACTTTTACTAACTATAAACATCACTCGAAAACACTAAAGAACATTAGCAAACTTTATTAAATTCATTCTTAATGACTCTAACATATATTTAACTACCACAACCGGTGTTGACATAAGAACGTCCCCAAGTAAATATGCAGATAACCTACAAACATAATATTTACTAATATTACTACTACAACTACTACTACTAATACTACTACAGTCTACAAACTATTTAGTTTGTAGCTCGGGTGCAGAAAAGAAACGTATTCAAGCCATTGACACATTATGCTCCGAATCACGATTAGACAAAATAGAATTACGATAAACATACGCATATGATTTATGCACACGAACGCTGCTTGACAAGCCAAATACACATATAATCTTATTACTAAGGACTATCAAACAGCACAAAATTAAAAATACCAAAAAGATTTTCCATATCTTATTATGTACTGAAGCTTAAATAAAGGTGAAGTATGTTAGATTTATTAAAGTTTACTATTTATTCTTTATCCTATCTTCCATTAATATATATATATATATATATATATATATATGGATGTGTTTTATATATATATATATATATATATATATATATATATATATATATATATATATATATATACATATGTATATATATATATATATATATATATATATATATATATATATATATATAATATACATATATATAAATGTGTGTTCATATATATATATGCATATATATATATATATATATATATATATATATATATATATATATATATATATATATATATATATATATAGGCAGAGACACTTTCTGGTATCTGGTTAACGTAGAAAATGATTTAATTCATGGTCCCCTATTATTCTTAGGTAACCGAAAGTATTTTTTGTTTGCATATATATATATATATATATATATATATGTATGTATGTATGTGTGTGTGTGTTTCATTCTAACCTAAGGTAGCCGAAAGAAACAGACGCTCTCGCGTAATCATGCCTTATATATATATATTTTCCACTCTGCCTGTTTATTTTCACTTTTGTTTCGGATACGGTTATGCATCCCAAAGCATACACACACATATACATGCTTACATAAGTGTATATATATATATATATATATATATATATATATATATATATGGCAGGCGGACGCGAAACTGAGTCACATGTTGCTCTTTTACCTTTGATATAGGGCTTGTGTTGGCTGTCTTTTTTTCATCACATTTAATATATAAAAGGTAAATAAGAAAAATTTCAAGCTTTAGGATTATTTACTGGATATAAATTGAAATCCCATTACATTAAATCGTAAGCTTAAGGTTTATGTCTATGCAACAAAAACGTATGTTGTAAATGTTGTTCATCTCTTGTGGCTCTCAAGCATCTGAACTTTATCGTATGAAGCTCTTACATTAAGCAAGTTTGCCCAGCCCTGTTACACACGAATAAACCATTATTTTATGATTTACATATCAATATCGTCTTATTGACATTCTATAACCTTCATGAGTGTTTCAGTTACTGATTTTGTAAAATTGTTCCACCGTTCCAATTGTGACATCGTTTGCAACATCGGAAGGATCATCTGTTTGACCAGGCCTGGAAGCTCAAACACTCGATCGCGATAAACTGTGACCATGTGCTAGAACAATTACCCACAGCTTCCGAGCGGTTTCATCTACCTAATCTCGCACAAAAATCTTAGATCACCATGGGGTTTGTTTTTTTGGGTGTTTTTTGTACACATTTTCCAACACGGTCTCCCCAAGTTTATTTTATCATCTTTAACTGACCATGGCGAGATTCGAACGCTAAAGATCTAACAACATAGGCTCCCGCGTAATTACTCACCAGACGTCTTCTTGATATTATCTTTTCTTTTTTATGTCTTCCATGCTGAGATAAGCAGAGGAATTTGAGGAGGAGAAGAATATGTTAGAATAGAGAAGATGGCGCGTTAATTTATACATGCCTGATCAGGCATCTCGACTTCAGTGACTTTCTCACTGTCGCGAAATGACTTCCCTCCGTCTTTTCTACAAATATTTTTATAGCAACATCTCCGACGAGATTTTTCCCCTGGTGCCACGAATACATGAATTTCAGCGTATTACTTGATTGGCATGTAGGTCCCACCATTTTACTGCTGAAATAACTAAATGTAACCGCCTTTTCTACTTCAACATTTTCTTTTCTCGCAATTTCCCACCTGTGGAATTCTCTTACATTTGCCTGATAACTACAATCTTCAAAATTTAAATGTAACATCAATCGCCATCTTCTGTCTTCTTTAACCCCTTTCATCTTTTGCCCTTTCCTCAATTCTCCCTATTTTCAATCTTCTGTTCCACTTTCACTTTCACTTTATGCAACACACGGTGTACTGGTGGCATTATCGCCTTGCTTGGAGTGAAATGATTACAAAAAGCATCTTTGAAAATATTGAAAATCAGCAAGAGAAATTCTGCTTTCTAACTGGGATCGAACATGGAACAATTCTGTAAAAATCCGTAACTTTCTGGCTTTCAGAGACGATTTTTCTTAATATTTTTTATTATAACATTTTGTTTTCTTTTGTCATGCAGTATTTCAATTTTCTTCATTAAAAAATCATTCGTTTTTCACTTTTTCTTTTCATTCCTTTCAATTCAGAAAACACCTTTTTGCGTCACTAATCCTTTTTCTTCTTAAGAAGTATGTTCCTTGAGAACGAAGTTGGTTGTGATTACTCACAGATTTCATTTCTATCTATTCTTCGATTTACCATTCATGGTTTTCCGTTGCCATATCCAGGGTTCTGATTTCAAAGTATTCACAGCCAGAAACAGATTGTCAACAAAAGCGAGAGAGTCCACTCTACACTACTATTTAGTTCGTAGTTCGGCTGCAGAAAATAAATGTATTCAAGCCATTGACAAAGGAATTTAACGCAATAGACCAGGCCGGGATTTGAACTCAGCTCGCTGATTCCCAATTCAAGCCCGTTACACCTAGGCTTTATTAAAAATCAAATTTTCTGAGTTAAATACTACTACTACTATTACAAATAACAAAAACAACAATAATAATAATAATAATAGTAATAATGAGAATCCTAAGAAGAACAGCAGCAGCAGCAGCAGCAGTACCTGATGCTATATCAAGCATGGTTTCTATGGATTTTGATTTTAAATTATTATAGGTGTTAGCATACACATGATTTGTCTAAGTGTATGAAGATGTGCTACAGTTCATATCCTGTTCAGTTAAAACTGCTTCTTATTTTAGCCATGTCCGTTCATGTCAGTCCATGAACAGGTTTAGCGAGAGAATATCATGGACGGGTGTCATGGGCGTGTCTTTTATACGATGAGGCAGCAATGACAACTTGGGCATCATATCTATATACTCGCGAACACCATCAATCAACGACTCTTATTCAATAATAATAATAATATAGGAAATAGTACTTTAACTTACATTATATTGTAACTAATACTATCGCAACATTTCGGCTATTGTGCCATTCGAACTTCTTCAGGTGTCCGTGTCTAGAGATACATCGTCTTGTTTTTTTTTTTAGAACCCTACTCTTTTTTTACATTGGGTCTTAGTCTGTACTACCCGGCCCAGGGATTGAACTCCCAATAACCGTGCCACCAAATTCACTAACAAACAAAAGTCAACTGAAAAAGACCTCAGAGCACAACAATTTGATACTCTGCTTACTTCTGCTTATAAAAACTGATGACGTTAATCCGAATTAAAAACATGCAAATAATGCTATCTCCTTACCCCAGACATTCAGATGGAAATAAAAGATCATATGCACATGAATATAAAAAAAAACACTAAATGACATAGTGACGATAACATACAAATAATATAAACTATAACTCCTATAGAAGAGATTAAAGGAAAGCGAGAAGAAAGGACTAAATATCAATTGTAAGAAAACAAAACGTATGTTTGTCAGGAAAAACAGCAGCTCAGTATCCGGAATGTCAATTGAAGATATCAGAATCAAGCGAGTACAAAAGTTTAAATATATTAGAAGTGTTTTAGCAACTGACGAAAACTACGACACCGAAATCCGAAGTCGCGGTGCGAAAGCGAATGATGTCTTCTAAAAGCTAGGTGCGGTGAACTTTTGAGTGTCGACAGAGTTTTAAGTAAAACTGGAACAAAAAGAAAGGTATTTACACAGAATTAAAGAGAGACAGTTGACATTTCTATGATACATAATGAGGAGAGTAGGTCTGTAAAAATTGATACTCGCAGGACAGAAGAATGCCGTGAGTAACCGATTTAACGAACTTGTGTAAATTGTTGTCCGAATAGGAATTAGGAGAAATGGCAGACGGACAATCATTGCTAAGAGCTACAAAGGAGATGAAATTGCGGAGAGCCATGATCGCCAACGTCCTGAAGGGACACGCTACACAGAAGAAATAAATTGTATGCTGGAGGTAAACTTTTAGCTGATTAATCCCGTTAGTGAATCCAGTTGTGCATCTAGTTCGATCCTTATAGAGGGCCTAATTAAGATTAAATTGAGAAGATATCTGTAAAATTGCCAAGGATCATTGTCTATCTCATTATTTCATAAGCCTTCATTTTATTTGCTGTTACTTCTGATTTCTGACTTGGTCTCATATCGTCAATCTTTCCCATTGATCTTTCTTTTGAGCTGAGGTTTATTTTTTCATCTTTACGCGTCTGATGAAGAGAATTGATTTTTTTTTCTTTTTACTCCGATTGCGATCCTTTCATCAGCATAGACTTTTGAATTCGCAGATACCCAAATGCATTGTCCTAAAAGTTACCGCAGGCTGACTTTTCCTATCATCACCCTGATGATGTCTTAACGGGCTAATTCTGCAAGTCTGCAACTAGAATTTTTTATTTTTTTTTTGTCTTTATTTTAAATTCCGTGAACGTTTTTAGCATATTCTGATTTTTCTTACAGCTCTCTCTTGCCTTTCAATCAGTTACACAATCAAAGTTACACAATCAAAGTTACAAAACTCAAATTAGACTGGGGCACTACGGCGTCGGCTAATCTGGTTGACCATCGATACTGAATACCGTATTCAAGTCTCATGAGGTTCTCCATAATTTGGAGCTAATGTCAAAAAATAAAAATAAGAAATAAAAAAAAATAAAATGAAACAAGTTAAGTTTAGTAAATAACAATTCACGATATATTTCAATATATGGACATGTTAATTAGCAACGTCAAAGTTTATCAATTTATATCCTAGAAAAGAGACGGTGGAAACAATCTGCCAAGATAATTTCATGTTTATGGTAAATATTAAAAAAAATTTCAGTTGGGCACATGCACCTCTCTCTCTCTCTCTATATATATATATATATATATATATATATATATATATATATATATATATATATATATATACTTTCTAAGCGTAGCTTAGATGTGGCACAAGGTATGGGGTACCCAATGAGGATCGAACTCACTACTCAGCTGTATTTGTTCTAGCGAGACAAGCTTGCTAGCCATTACGCCAGGCTGAGGTGCCCTAGTGATTTTCCAAGCGTAGCTCAGATGTGGCACAAGGCCGAAAGTAAGGGGCACCTAGTGAGGATCGAACTCACTACTCAGTCGTAATAGTTCTTGCTAACCATTACACCACCTCCAGGTGCTCCCTCTCTCTCTCTATATATATATATATATATATATATATATATATATATACTTACACACACACATATGAAAATGGATTAAGTCCGACATTTATTTAATATATTTACTGTCTATACGATATTTTTATAGATACAATTTAAGTAAATGCTCTGTTTTTAATTAAAGCGTACCAATTACATTTAGAGGCCTGCATCTTCGCGAAATTTCGTAGAAAATACACGTTCCCCAACAGGGCTCGAACCTATATTCTTATACGGAAACCGTCATTTGACTTGTTTATCTGTTGTTTCCTATTTACAATTGGGTTCCCAGTTCCTTCTAAAATCTGCTTCAGCTCTATATCTCTCGCGCTTATTCTTTCCTACGCTAATATAAGCCCGCATTGTCATCCTATAACTTGAGTGGCTCTTAGGCCTTGTATTGTGAGAATTAGTAAAATAATAATATTAATAATAATAATAATAATAATATTAATAACAAACTATATAAATTTAAGATTACTAACTATTTAAGGATCAGCTCGTCTTGCTGATGAAAAAAATAGACTACGATTACAGAACTGTCTAAAATCTTTTTAGCATTGTTAAACGCTAGAATTAAAATCGAATGCCCAATTCGTGTGTGCAAGTCCTATGTCTCTTAATTGGTTATATGACCTTTACGCTCTTCCTGACATTTCCTAAAACTGACAGAGGAAATTATCTAGTTGACTTTAAAATTCAAAGTTATTCTTTATTTTTACTCGTGGAAAGATATTCTACTGCAATTATAGTTCAAAATGAACATTTTTTTCAAAATAAAGGACTACCTTGAATAATAAATACATACATACACACGCACCCACATATATGTATGTATGTGTGTGTGTGTGTGTGTGTGTGTGTGTGTGTGTGTGTGTGTGTGTAACTATGTATAGGAAAGAGAATGAGAAGGGGAGATAGAAAGAGACTTAGAAAACAATACCGAAAGAAAAATAGTTTAGAATTTAAAATTTTGTTATTTTGCATATTTGGAAAAGAAATTCCTTTAATAAACTAGCTTTTCAAAACTTATAATTACTGAAAAACAACGTCATAAAAAGAATCTTAAAAAGTAAATATATTTAGACAAATATATCTATATCTATATATCTATGTATCTATATCTACAGATAGATAGATAGATAGATAGATAGATAGATAGATAGATAGATATGCGTGTATGTGTGTGTGTTTGTGTGGGCACAGAAGGAGAGAGAGAAGCGGTGATGCACTTCGAAAGTAATACCTTCTGTATATTTCTATGAAGCGAACAGATAGAGAGAGAATGAGGTGGAGAGTTATGGTGATATTTGGTTATGCCTGGGTACAACTTCTTGATTGATTTGCTGCTCCTAAAACTCAAGTAGTGGGGACTATATAGCCGCCCAGTACTGAGAAATGTGAGAAAAGCAGATATTTTAAATATGTAAAAACAAATGAAGCATGAAATAAACACTTTATTCAAACTAAACATAAACTAAATTTTTATTTCATTTTTTGATTGGATACCCTCCAGATATAGACACCCGGGACGTTGCACCCTCTGTCGCTTCTTCTGCGCGCTACTGTAGGAGTAGGGAGTACAACAGAACTATTAGATGGAGAATGTTTTCAGATAAACAACATTATATTTGCACGTATTCAACGCCAAAGGTTCTACGATGAACTGGAACCCACGTACCTCATTTGGAAAATAGCTTGTCGCACACATCGCTGTTAATACTGTTGGAACGCGTTGGTCTCTGTCAAAATTCATCAACTGTCGATGAGTAGCAACGTGTACAAATTTTTTTCCCAGACTGGAAAAAAAATCGATTGAGGTCAACACCCAGCGTCGACAGTCGAGCATGTATTGTGCCGATCCGTCCACAAATGTTGATTGTGTAAACGTGTTATCCCATTTCTTCCAAATATTGCCGCATTCGTAAACAAGACTGAAGAGACAAACAATGGATCGGCAGTTTGGGCAATAAACCATCGGCAAACGTTCTCCCGTGGTGAGTGATCAGAGGTCGAAAGAC